AGGCTGAAGGGTTCCTTTCTTTTGCAGATTCCACAGTTTGGCTGGGACTGCCTGGGAGAGTAATTTTATTTCTGGGGGATTGTTGTTCTTTAATAACTAATATTTGTTGAGTACCTACCATATGCCAAGCACCATCTCAAGTATTCTACATGGCAATCATATAAGGTAGGTCCTTTTATTTTTTATTTGTTTATTTTTTTGGCCGTGCCGCGCAGCATGCAGACTCTCAGTTCCCCAACCAAGGATTGAACCCACGCCCCCTGCAGTGGAAGTGTGGAGTCTTAACCACTGGACCACCAGGGAAGTCCCAGGTAGGTACTTTTATTGTCTCCAATTTAAAGATGAAGAAACAGACTTAACAGGTTAGAAAAACCATTGCTTGGGTGTCAATCTTTCTCTCCTTTTTTTTTTTTTTTTTTTTCCGATCTTCCTCTTAGACAATGTGTTCATCTTGGGCAGGTCACTAAACCTTAAGGACGATAATGCTTATTTCAGTGTGTTATTATGAGGATCGACCAAGATCAAGTAAGTGAAGGTGGCTGGTATTGAGCCAGGCACACAAGGGGCACTTTTTGTTTTTGTTTTTGTTTTTGTGATACGCGGGCCCCTCACTGTTGTGGCCTCTCCCGTTGCGGAGCACAGGGTCCGGACGCGCAGGCTCAGCGGCCATGGCTCACGGGCCCAGCCGCTCCGCGGCATGTGGGATCTTCCCGGACCGGGGCACGAGCCCGTGTCCCCTGCATCGGCAGGCACCACCAGGGAAGCCCAAGGGGCACTTTTTGAACTAAAGGGACAAGTACATGAAAAGCAGACTTTGTATGTTGCTTAGCAAATGTACCTGTGCTGTGCTCACTCAATTATAAATCTCCAGAGGTCGGATCACAGAACTAGTCAAGGATGACACCTACCAGGCCTTCTCTGGACAAAACTGGGTAAAGAAAACAACTCATGTTTCTCAGCTACAATATGGCTTTTGCTGCCTCAGAATCATCTGGGGAACTAGCTAAAAAGAAGATTCCTGGGACCACCTTCCGTCTCCACCTCACAGCACTGATGAGTAAGAAATTGGCTTTTTAGACAAGCTCAAGTAATTCATATATACTCCTGATTTTAAGAGCAACTATCAAAGATGTATTTATGTAAATATATAATACATATATATATAAATTAAATGAATTTTTATCAAAAAGGATGCAAAGATGTCCATTTATGTGTTTTTTCCCCAGAATTGGGGTCACTGGACACAATCTGTCGTGGTTTTACATGGCATACACAGTGACACATTCAAGCAGAAACCTACAAGAGTTCCCTTTATAAATATGTCAACACCAATATACATTTGAGAATCATCAAGGAGTGCAAGACTGCAATCTAAGTAGAGAGGGCTTAAGCCAGTGGTAGCTCCCAACTGAAAATCACTTTGGGGGCTTGAAAAAGATTCACGTATGTGGGCCCCACTATAGACTGACTGAATTAGAACGTCTGACGGTCAAATCCAAGCATTTATATGCTGAAATCTTTCTATAGATGATTCTGATTATCTCCCTGGTTAAGAATCACTGACAATCATGATGAGATGCACCTTTCCTATTTCCAAGGTAGTACCGATCCGTTTGTTTTTGTGCAGAAGAAAGTTGTCAACAAAGTAGATGATGAATGTGGCTCAAACACCGCTAGACTCCTCTTGCTAATACTGTATTACGTAGCTTTCAGGATTTGTCCCTTAATTTATGCTATGAAGAGCCAAGGGAAGCCAACAACACAGATACTCAGTGGCCACTAACTAAAGTGCACACAGGCATGTGCACAAACACACACAAACACACACCCATAAGTCTTAGCTCTCCAGTCATCATTTTTTTCTCACTGCTTCCTCATTCTGGAACCCTTTGGTCTCCATATTCTATGTTTATCTGCAAAAGCTCTGATCAGCTGCTTTGAGTGTCTTCTCATCTAGCTGAAGACACTGAAGATAAGTCACTTGCACGAGGTCCCTCAGCTACGGGGTGGTACAGCCAGGACTCAGATTAGCTCTGACTTCAGCCCAACACTCCCCCAGTACTTGTTCATTCCCTGGACGTTTGCTGGGATGCTCTCTCTCTCCAGCCCATCAAGCGGGGCTGGCCTCGTAGGCACGCAACCAATGCAGCTGCACTGGACTCAGCTCTGAGAAGAGCCATACACTTGGTCTGCTGCCCTGCTGCCGCAGTCTTGAAATTCTTAACTTTTTTAACTGGAGTCCTTGCATTTTCATTTTGCACGTGGTATTGCAAATTATGTAGCTGGTCCCGCCTACAAGTGAAGAGGGCTGCTTGTGGCCCCTGAGACAGACTGGTCCATCCACTTAGGAACTTGCAGAAAGTGGAGAGCTGCAGTTCAGCTTTCAGAGTCTCAGCATCGGCTCTGACCACCAATACTCCATCCATCCCTAAGAAGATCTCAGCTTCCCTGAACACCTCAAACCCTCGAGTCTTACCTGGACAGACTTCCTGAAAAAGAGCTTTGTTCTCCAAGTATGTGCTGACGGAGATAGCATTTCAATCACCCTTTGACCCGTGCTGGAAGGCAAGGTAATTGAATTTCTATTTAACTTTGTATTTGCCAAAAGAAATGATGACTAATTGGGACTTCCCTGGTGGTCCAGTGGTAAAGAATCTGCCTTCCAATGCAGGGGACTCAGGGTTCGATCCCTGGTCGGGGAACTAAGATCCCACATGCCACGGGGCAACTAAGCCCGCGCACTGCAACTACTGAGCTCTTGCGCCTCAATGAGAGAGCCTGCGTGCCGCAAACTACCGAGCCCATGTGCTCTGGAACCCGCACGCCACAACTAGAGAGCCCACGCGCCCTGGAGCCTGCCCACTACAACTAGAGAGAGAAAACCTGCTGCTACAACTAGAGAGAAGCCCGCGCGCCACAACAAAGAGCCTGCACCACAGTGAAAGATCCCGCATGCCGCAACTAAGACCCGACACAGTCAAAAAAGAAATGATGACTAATTGGAGAATATTTAAAAATTCTCTTCTCACCAGATCATTTCCTAAAAATTATATTCTCAAACATATCAATCATCATCCACTTGTACTTTGACAGCTTTACAAACAATCCACATTTTGAAAACCTCTTTCGAACAGATCTTGGCAAATGTTTCCTGCTTTTCTTATGCTTATAATGACAGTGTCATTTTCACTTGTTTAGTTACGTTTAGTTCTCTTATCTGACATGGCCAGATGATCCAGCATTGTTTTTCAAGTCTTGTTTTAATTTAACAAAGTAATTCATCAATTGGAAGCAACTGTTTTTGTTTTGTTTTGTTTTAAGAAGTCCCCTTTAGTGATCAGGAAAGATAACAGATTTAAAAGAAGGAATGGCCAATGCATTTTCTTTGTACATCATTTGAGAGTTGAAAAATACCTTATAAATCACCACATTCACTGTCCTTATTTTCCCCATAAGAATAGAGATTGTGATTTGCTCAATGAATCATGTGAAGGTCATAGCTCAGGATGAGACTCCAGGGCTACGTCTTAGCATATCTGTTCTTTTTTAAAAATTTTTATTGGTATAGTTTATATGGGTATAGTTGACTTACAATGTTGTGTTAGTTTCTGCTGTACAACAAATTGAATCAGTTATACATATTCATATATCCACTCTTTTTCAGATTCTATTCCCATGTAGGCCATTACAGAGTATTGAGCAGAGTCCCCTGTGCTGTACAGTACGTACTTATTAGTTATCTATTTTATATACAGTAGTGTGTATACAGCATGTCTGTTCTTAACTAGTTCCAAGTAAGTTAGAGTGATGAGCACTAAATACTACTGCAAAGCTCAAACTATGACTCCAGAAATTGAAGTGCATATGATTTTGGCCTTAAAATAAAAAGCCACTCTACTGTGCTGTCTAAAGATGTTAAGAATCACTATTATATAATACTTGATAAATGTTTATCAAGAATATTACTTTGGGGGCTTCCCTGGTGGCACAGTGGTTAAGAATCAGCCTGCCAATGCAGGGGACACGGGTTCGATCCCTGGTCCGGGAAGATCCCACATGCCACGGAGCAACTAAGCCCGTGTGCCACAACTACTAAGCCTGCGCTCTAGAGCCCGCAAGCCACGACTACTAAGCCTGTGAGCCACAACTACTGAAGCCCGCGCGCCTAGAGCCCGTGAGCCACAACAAGAGAAGCCACCGCAATGAGAAGCCCTCGCACCACAACTAAGAGTAGCCCCCGCTCGCTGCAACTAGAGAAAGCCCACGCACGGCAATGAAGACCCAACGCAGCCAAATATAAATAAATAAATAAAATAAAAATTTAAAAAAAAAGAATATTACTTTTGGAGACATTTTATGAAGGTCACACAAAATACATCACATACCTCTTACACATAACACTATATTTAAATCCTTAATGTCATTATCATTGTGGAGAAGGGACTACTCTTGGTCATATCAAATTTTTCTTAAGAAGGTGACACAAATGTAGGACACGCAATGTGATCACGGTGTATCGGAATCAGAGAGGAGTAATTATGAATCATAGAGGAACTGTTCCCAGGACTGCTGAAAAATATTTGGTCCTTTGGTCACCAGCATTCATCGGACATACCTGGATCACTGCCCTCATACCCCTGTATCTTTCTTATTTGTGGAAACACGTGTGTCTCACTAGACTGAGACTCTTAAAGGTAGAAATGATGTGTTTGCCATTCATCCTTTCATATCCAGCATCTAGCACACTGCCTGGCACACAGTAGCAAATAAATACATAAAGAAATGAATGAATGGACAACTGAATCTCTGATGGAATTCCTGTATTGTCACATAGATTTATGACGGTGAAAGAGTGGTTTATAATCTCAGTGAAGGCAGCAAAGTAGGTGCTATACTTTAAAAAAAGAAAATAGCCTCCTATGTCTTGCACAATGTGAATGATGCAGCAAATGTAATTAAATGATTAATGAGTGAGGAGAAGCATAAGTTTCTCCACTTACTTGCAAGCAAGCCAACTCCACTTGCAAGGGATCCGACCCAGGCTGTTTTTCCCTTCCCTTCACCAAAGGCGTCCAGCCATTCTATGTACAAGACGCCAACAGCTAGCGGAGATCCGTAACACAAAAACTGAGTAAACAGGGAGGCCAGTACAATCACCCAGCCCCAGCCACCATCAGGTGGCTTCTTAAATTCCATTGTAATGTGAGATCAAGGCGGTGTTTCTCTGTAGGTCCTAAGCAAAAACAAAAAGAAAAAAAGAAAAGCATATTTAGAGTGTAGCGAGGCATGGTATTTTAGATTAAAAATATCTCCTCCCAAATTGAAACATAAAAAAAGTTCTCTAAAAATATAAGAGGAAAAGGATAAAATATCATCGATATACCAAGTTAACTTTAAATTTTTGATTTCTGATTTGAATAAGTAATACATCCACATGTTTCCAAAAAGATGTTTTTTATATCATAAAAAGGATAAATTCGGAGTTTGGGATTAACATATACACACTACCATATATAAAACAGATAACCAACGGGGACCTACTGTATAGCACAGGGAACTCTATTCAATATTTTTGTAATAACCTATAAGGGAAAAAGACTAGGAATCACTGTGCACCTGAAACTCACACAACATTGTAATTCAACTATTCTTCAATTTTTTAAAAAGCCATAGAGTGTAGGGTGTAAAGTCTTCTTCCCAAACTTGCCCCCGTTCACCAGGTTCCCACCCCAACCCAAGCACAGGAAATCACTGGTTTTGGTTTCCTGTGGCACGTTGAGTTCCCCAGGAAACACTCTTACTTATTAGCAAGAGGAGGTTTACTAAAAGTGTTCTCTTTCTATGGAAGAGACCAGACAGCAGCAGGAGAAGGTAAATTACCATGCAGCTTAAGGAAGGGGATTTCTAAAGCTGGCTGACCCTTCAGAGTTGCCCTGAGTTGGCGGTGGGAAGCTGGCCCTTCACACCCCCATGTTGCTAATTCACTGATTGCAGGCCACCCCAGAAGGGGGCATGACCTCAGGTGAGGTGACTCTCTTCAAAAGAGGCAATCACTACCCATGGGGTTTGTTCCCTGAGGGACATCTGTCAGCAGCCCTTCAGCTGCTTCAGCAAGAAATCTTTCATTCCTAAGGCGGTCTGGAGGCAGCACATCACAATGTTCACACTCGAGTATCCTTCCAGAGTTTCTTTATGAATATGCAAGCAAAACCAAGCAAACAGTCTTAGATTTCCTTTTTTCGACAAAAAGTGGATATTGTACATTCTATTCCATGCATTGTTTTATTCACTTAACATCCTTGGGAATGCTTCCCTATCAACACATAGAGAGCATCCTTAGTCTTCTTTCTTAAATACACACATATGGCTGTATACTTGTTTGTTTGTTTTCCTTATTGAATAGGCAAAACATTCACATGGTTCAAAAATGGAAAAAATGACAACGAATATACAGCCTCCATCTACCTAGTTCCCACCTAACTTCCATGCTCTCCACCAGTAACTAACGCTTCTTGTTTCTTTCATATGCTTCCAGAATTAATTTATGAGTACATAAGCTAACTCATATACAGATTTCCTCTAATTTTTTTTTTTTTTTTTTTTTTTGCAGTACGCGGAGCAACCACTGCGCCACCAGGGAAGCCCTATACTCTTATTATTTAACGTTATTCTAGATGCTTGTCCCACACAAAGGCAAAAGAAGGAAGTTAGATAGAAGCATAAAAATCCAAAGTTGGGGGTAAAACTACCACTGTTTGTAGATGGTTATATAACTGTATTGTATTAAAGATTGTATGTATCCAAGAGAATCATCCAAAAATCTACTTCAAACAAGAGATTTTATAGTAACGTAGTGGAGTCCAAAATTAACATACAGATATGAATAGCTTTTCCACATACAAACAGAAGACAAATCAAAGAAATAAGCCCAATTATAATATTAGCAAAAAGGATAAGATATATAAAAATAAAATAAAAAGAAATGTTGGGGGAAATTTTAAACACTAAGAACACAAAAGTAGACTTGAACAAATGGAAAGATATGAAATGGAAGATAGAAAGATTCAACATCATAAAAGGAGTATTTTTCCTTAAATCAATTTATAATTTAACTCAGTCCTAATGAAAACACCATCAGATTTCTTTTAGAAGCAGACAAACTGATTCTGAAGTTCGTATAAAAAAGTAAACAAACAAGAGGAACTAAGAAAGTATTGAAAAGGTGTGCAATGACGGAGAGAGAGGGAAGGAACTATTTCCACTGGAACTTAAAATATATTAAAAAGACTTAGGGAATTTTCTGGTGGTCCAGTGGTTAGGACTCTGCGCTCTCACTGCCAAGGACATGGCTTCAGTCTCTGCTCGGGGAGCTAGGACCCTACAAGCCTCGTGGCACAGCCGGAAAAAAAAAAAGACTTAGTAGTTAAACAAATGTGGTATGGTGAGTGAATAGACAGATCAGTGGAACAGAAAGAAAAATCCAGAAACACCCATATATTCCTAAGAATTAGATACGAGTTACAAATTGCTTTTCACCTATGAAACGGCACACATCATTCAGAGAATGTTGAGAAATGCAAATTAAAACTATAATGAAATACTGTTTTAAAGCGAACAAATTGGCAAAAATCGAGAAGTTTCACAACACACCCAAAGTTGCTGGGGATCATGTAAACCGGTTTAATCCCTTGAAGTCAATTTGCTAATGCTAATTACAGCTACAAATGTATATTTGTAATTGACTCAGCAATTCCTGACAGGTATGTAGAAAGATAAATGTGTATGTAAGGTTATTCACTGCAGCATTGTTTTTCATTGGAAGCCATGGGGACTGGTTAAACAGTTAAGAATTACTGGAACACAATGTTGCAGAAAGAAAGGATGAGGAAGGTTACTATGTATGCATTGCAAGGTATTTGTCAAGTGAAAAAAAGCAAGACACACACCAATGTATATAATATGCTGGTTTTTTGTGTAAAAAATTAGAGGAGGGCTTCCCTGGTGGCGCAGTGGTTGAAGGGTCCGCCTGCCGATGCAGGAGACACGGG